CCTGAGCCCGCCGGGGCCCGCGCCGGCCAGCGCCTGCCCTATGAGTGTGTCACTGGTGGTCATTCGACTGGAGCTAGCGGAACACTCGCCCACCCCCGCCGGCTTCGGCTTCATCGCCGCCGGTGAGTCCCTCGGTGGCGTCGCCTTCCCTGGCGCGCGCTCCGGGGCCGAGGGCTGGGCCCCCGCCCCGGGCCGCGCCGACGGCTTGCGTCTCAGGAAGGAGCTTGAGAGCCGCTGGCATTCCTGTCACCCGGGCGCCTTTTCCACATGTCACCACCGCGACCCTGCCGGTCCCTCCCAACCCCCCTCCGCCACACGGGCGCCCCAAGTGTACCTGGCGGCCCCTCCCCCGCCGGCCCGGAGTCGAGTTGAGTCATTGTCCCTCTGGCTCCCCTCGGGCCTTTGGAAGGCAGGGTCGGGGTTCCCAGCGACGCGGGCCCCCGCTAACTTGAGTAAATTGTTTGGAAGAATGCCCCTTTAGGCGCTCTGTAGTCATGGTATCATCACAACTAACCTTGGGACCCGTCCCCACAACCCAGCACTGACAACGCCCGGGGGGCGGGGGTGGGGGCTTTTTCTGTCTTCATTTCCTTGGCCACACCCGCGGAGGAGGGCCGGTGGGCTGGTCCTTTGACAAGTTGGACACTGGGGACCCACTGGTGTAATGCTGGGCTCAAGAGGAGAAGGGGAAACGGGTTCCAAAGAGAGAGGGTGACCCACACCCCACCCCACACACACCCCCAGCCACGCAGCCTCCTGGACGAAGAACGCGGCGATGACTCTGGCCTTTGGGTCTTAAGTTATGCCCTACCGGCATAGCCCTTCAGGGCACATTCGGTGAGTGCCTGCGCTGAGGGGCAGTCCTGGGCAGAGCCAGACTGCTTCCTGCGTGATGGCAGCAGCAGGGCAGCTCAGTGAGGGAGCCTGATGGGTGGCACGTCTAAGGAGCGGATGTCGCCTTAAGACGGGGGTGAGTACTGGGGAGGAGAGGAAAGGCAAGGTTTGGAGAACTGACACATTGGGATTTGACCTCCTGGCTTTGGGCTGCGTGCCTCTGAACGTGCGTGTTGCAGACTGAGCACCTTCCGAGGGTCACGCAGGAGCTCCTCGTTCTGAATTGGCATTGGCCACATCTCAGTAGGTCAGGCTTGCGGGGAGGGCAGCCTGGAGGACAGGGAGACCTATCCAAGGTTCCATCGAGGGGAGTTGTGGTCTCTCAAGTGTTAATCAGTCGTGTCTTCTTCAGCTGGGGAAATGTCCAATGAGGAGATCAAAAGGAAGACACTCGCTGCCGCCAAAGCCTGTTTAGAAGGGAAGTCCCCAGGGGAGAAGGCAGCGATCATACACCAGCACCTTGGCCGTCGAGAAATGACAGATATGATCATCGAGACCATGAAGTCCAGCTCAGGTATGCATGTATATCTGTTGTTTGATTTGACCTCTAGCGTCGTTTTTTCAATGTTGTGGATTAGGCGAAGCTTCTTAGAGCAAGTCATATATATATATATATATATATCCTGTTTCCCCGAAAATAAGACAGTGTCTTATATTCATTTTTGCTCCCAAAGATGCGCTAGGTCTTATTTTCAGGGGATATCGTATTTTTCCATGAAGAAGAATATGGTACACATTTATTGTTGAACAACAAAAAAAGGAAATTTATTACCTATATATGGTACGGTAGTAGTTGTCATCACAAACCAGCATAACTAGACAAACAATCCTACAGTATCAAGAATTTCTTTTTACTACCATTATTTCCTACAACAATCTGTGGTACATTTACTTGCACCTCCTGTCTGCTCCGGCTGCGCTGCAGCCAACAGTGAGCTGTGCAGTGGCACCCACCACTACGTTCCAGGGTCCAAAGTTAAGGTAGCTTCCGGGGGCCTTATCAGGGAGGCCTTATTTTTGGGGAATGCCTTATATTTCAGCAAGAGGCAAAACTGTTAAGTAGAACTTATTTTCTGGGGATGTCTTACTTTCAGGGAAACACAGTATATATTTTACATTTCAAAGATTTATACACATTCTGATTCAGCTCCTCCATTGCAGTCCCCCCTGGCTTAGTTTCCTCCTTCTTCCCATGTGCCTTACATAAGGTTGTCAAACCATATTTCAACTGCTTAAAATGAAACATTTTTATAGAAGATCAAAGGTATAAATATGACTTGAACAGTTAAAACTTTGTCAGTAGATCCCCCCTATGATGCAGGCTGGAACTGATCTGGTTTCCAAAATTTTCTTTATTTTTGGTTTGCATTGTTTGGTTTGATTTTTGTTCATATCAGAATGTATCTCATAGGTGTTATGTCAATAGCTGTGTTATGTGCGTTTCTATTTTTTGCTATATGAACAGGATTGATGAACCTATAGGGAAAACAAGTAGCATAAGGGGTTCTGGGGGAGAGGGTTACAGCAGTGGGGTGAAGTGAAAGGGAGACGATGTCAAGGAGTCCATGTAGAAAAATAGTATTTGGTAACTGTGGTAACAATTCTACTTGATGTGATTGAAATATGGAATGATATAAGTATTAAATTCCCACTAGTAAAAATATTTAAAGTTAAAAAAACCTGAAAACATTTTAAACTTAATTTTGTTTGATTTGGGTGAACATTTACTTACAGAGCAAATTGGTTTTTCGTATTACAATTCCTAAACATTTTGATTTCTGACTTTAGTCCACTGAGTGTAACAGCGCTCTTCCTACTCCACCTGGTGTTTATTGCCTCCATTTGTTTTTGTTTACTATCTGAGCTTTATTCTTTGGCAAATACCGCCCTTTGATTTGTATGGTTGATTGTGTAAGGAAGCACACACCTCCTTGGTGTTATTGTTCACCTTGAAGCTTGTCTGTTGTTTGAAAGTTCAACGACAGGGGGTGGGGTGGGTTAAGGGGTGGGAGTTGAAAGGGTAAAGAGGAGGGCAATCATCTCTGGGGTTCCACCAGTCTATCAGACCAATAAGCCTGTGTGTGTGCTTCTTTTAGAATGTCTTTTATTTATGTTTTTAATGTTAACAGGTTTTTTTTTTCTTCTCCTGGTCCCGTACCCAATGTTAACAATTTTATTGACATAATTCACATATACAATTCAACGGTTCAAACATATTAAACAGTTGTCAAAATAACAATAATAATATATAATTTATCAAGGATTCACGAGCATGGGAAGGTGGAGGGAGGGGAAAGAAGAGCTGATGCCAAGGGCTCAAGTAGAAGCAAAATGTTTTGGAAATGATGATGGCAACATAAGTACAAGTGTGCTTAATACAATTGAATCATGGATTGTTATAAAATCTATAAGAGCCCCCCAGTAAAATGATTAATAAATAGAGTTGTACAGTCACAATCCATTTTAGAACATTTTCTTCATTCTTGTACTCATTAGCTCCCCATTTCCCCAACTTCCCATGTCATAATCCTAAGAAACTATTACTCTGATTACTGACTGTAGATTTACCTATCCTAAATTTCATATATAGAAAAACAAAGACATACACACAAAAGAGCACAACAACAATAACAAAATAAGACAAATCTAAAAAAGAAAGCAGAAAATCATAAAAATTGGAGCAAATTTAAAATTGGTCAAAAGGGAGAACAAATGATAAGGTCTTAAATTTTAACCTATCTGCATCTGCATATATCGACTTTCCAGTGCACTCAGTCTGGTAGCAAGATTATTCATATCCCTGGTCAGCGGTCAGAGGGAATTCACCGGAGGCTTAATCTACTTGACACTGAAAATGGATTTGGGGCATTCACTGTCATCCATTACCTTCTGCAAACTGGGTGCTCAGAATTTAAGTTCTAATACCCGTCCTTCCTCTAGTCTTGGATTTTATTATGTAAAATCTTTGGATCATGCAGGCTGATGTGCTCCATGTGTAGATGGCTGATCATTTTAAGGCAAGCCTTTATTTTAAGACAAGACCCTATTCTTAATAACCAGGCACCATCTGATTTCGTGTGTGTGTGTGTGTGTGTGTGTGTGTTTCCACATTCCCCCCCACCCCACTTTATTTGGGGCCTCCTATTGTGATTCAGAGTGGTTGTCACTGGTAAGTAGTAATAGCCAGACACCATCTAGTTCGTTTGGTCTCCAGGTGTTGGAGGCTAGGGTTCATGTGGTCCTTATTTCTTCTAAACAAATCCTAGCCAGCTGGGCTGCCAACTTTACTCTGGGGGAGAGCTACTTAACTACATAGGTCAGTGGCAGATTATGAAGTGATTCTATAAACATGTTGTTCATTTCCCTTCCACCACCTGTTTGCATCCAGGGGAGTGAATGTATATTGCATTTCTAGCATGGCAGTGGTCAGAACTGGTTGGTTTAGTTTTCAGACCTATTAGAACTGAGTGTTCATCTCATTAAGGAATGGGTGATGGAAGACATCTGCTTGTGTTATGGCCCTGCCCCTTGTAAGAGCTGTCCCTAAGTTTCTATGGGTGTTGATGAGATGTTTAGAGGGCAAAGAGATTTCAAGTGGAAATTACCACCCTTCCCCCCCAAAATAAGCTGTTCTGTGTGTATAGTTCTTAATGTGGTACCTGTTAGGTTTTTTGTCAACGTATTCCTTGTGACTTGAAATTTTAACCTGGTTGGAATCCTTTTTTTTTTTTTGCACACTTCCTAACAATTTGTAATCTGCTTATTTTTAATTTGTGAAAGATGAGTTAAAAGCTACATCGGAAGAAGAAAAGTCTTCAGAAGTCTCCCCCAGTGCACAGCGGAGTAGGGATCAAAGTAAAGAATGCATCAGTGCTACTCCTGACTCTCCATCTAAACAGCTTCCGGACCAGATCTCATTCTTCAGTGGGAATCCATCTGTTGAAATAGTCCATGGTATTATGCATCTGTACAAGACCAAGTAAGAAAAAAACATTGACTTCCTTTAGGGTGGCTCTATTTTTTTGCCATGGGGCAGAGAAGAAACCTCTTGCCTTGAGAGGAAGTGGATATATTAAGCTTCAAAAGGGTACTACTTTGATGGGTTTTGTAGGAGGGAATTCTTAGATGCTTTACATTTGGTTATTCTTATAGACTGGGTCAGACATTATAGGAGACAATGGAACTGCCCTTGTGGGTTTCTGAGACGAGTTTTCCTCGGGAATAAAAAGTCTCATCTTTCTTCTGTGGAGCTGCTAGTAGTTTCCAACTGCAGACCTTAAAGTTAGCAGTCCAACGTGTAACCCACTACACCACCAGGGCTCCTTAAAGATACAAAAGAAAATCTATAGATGTGGTTGAAAGGGGTGCCAGCCCCCCCACCACTAATCACTGGTTCGATAGGCACAACTGTATGATTATTATATATAAATCTTATATTAAAGTCATAGCATGAGAGATAGAAGAGAGATAGAAATAATGGAGTCAGACACATTTCATGGTAGCAATGCTCACCTCAGCCCCGCTTGGTGGTCTACGTGGAGAGATGGGGAAGGGAAGGAGGACAAGGGCAAAGGGAACAGGGGAGAGAAGAGAGGGGAGCCGATGAGAGGCCAAGGGAGGGGAGCCCGAGAGAGAAATCTTTATTGCTAACCCAAGCCTGTATATCTTTGGGGGGAGTGCAAGCCCACTAATTACAGGTAAAAACATACATCACAGGAAGGGGTTGCACTATAGGTTATACAGCAATGACAGGGGGACAATCTAGGGATATACACCCAAGGAAGAGAAAGGATTGGGGGTATACATGTGACAAGAAGGGCGGATCTTAGATGCAGGATGACAGCCTAACTTTGGATGTCACTGAGCTGGTTTGACCTGTTCTCTGGATCTCCATAGAAACCATTATACAGTAGGGTATAAACTCCACCTACAGGAACCAAATTGATGACTGCAAGCCTTTAGGGAGAAGTAGCCCGCCTACATGGAAGTAACTTGTACCATTAGCTGCAAGCAGTGTCCTAAGTCTAACATATATTTGGGGGAAAATGATTTGGGAGAAATCCTTCTGTTTCCCACATATAGATGATCCACACTTTCATTGTAGCCTTCTAGTGCCCACCAAATCTTTACCCAAGAACCTGTAAACCTGTCAGGCGATTGGCTACAATTTCATCACCTTTCTACCTTTTTCTGTGATCCCAGCAAAAGCTGCTGGAAGTCATAGGAAAGGAATTGTTTGGCTCGGCCATCTTTGGATAATTGGCAACTAATCTCTTTTTATTTTTACTTTTTAAAATTTTTTTGGGGGGTGGGCAACTAATCTCTTAAAGGTTGTTCTTGCCTGAGCTTATCACCAGGCGCCCATGTGGACAGCACCACATCCTCGAATTGCCATTTTGGATCACAGCTGTTGAAGTGGACAGTTTTTCTCCCCACTCTTTCATTGCAGCCAAACAACCCTGTCTTTAGATGGACCACCTCATAGGTTAGGCATCTTTTTTCTTTAGTTAGAGCAGCTCTCAACCTATGGGTTTCGACCCTTTTGGGGGTCAAATGACCCTTTCACAGGGGTTGACCGATTCATAACAGTAGCAAAATGACAGTGACGAAGTAGCAATGAAAATACTGTTATGGTTGGGGGTCACCACAAAATGAAGAACTGTATGAAAGGGTCGCGGCATTAGGAAGGTTGAGGACCACTGATTTAGCACTTTCTAGATCTTTTGAGGGAACCTCGTAGCTAGAATTGTGTCTTGTGACAGGCAACAAGTCAAAAACTAAATGAGTGCTAGAAACTGTCATTTTTTGTGATAGGTCTTCAAAAAGCCTCCGGAAAAATTCCATTATCTTTTCATTTTATTTTTCCACGAACTTGAATTTCCCCTTAGCTGTATATGTATGTGTGTGTATACACATATGTAACCACAATTTAAAAAAAATTAAGGATGGAAAAGAAACCAGTGAGCATTTTCCTAATACAGTTGTATAACTAACCACCCTTCTTAAAGGATTAAAAACTGCTCTGGGGAAGGGGTATAAGAGTTTACGGTTACAGCAAACTCCATGGCAGCTATGTCGATGAGATTCTGCATTTACTCTTTTAGTCTGTATCTTCAAGTAACTTAACAAACGGTTTCAGTTGGTTTGATATGCTACACATTTTATTTTTTCCCTATTTTCTGAGACATAAAAGCTATCTAATTAATTAGTGCTATCTGCACTAACCACTCCATATGTATTCAAGACAGTCTCGTTATTGTCTTATTAGTAAGATGACCTCCTTAAAAGAAGAAATAAGACGCAGTGCCATGCTGTGTATCCTCACAGTCCCTGCGACAATGACCAGTCATGATCTTATGAAGTTTGTCGCCCCGTTTAATGAAGTGATTGAACAAATGAAAATCATCAGAGACTCTACGCCAAACCAGTATATGGTGCTGATAAAGTTTAGTGCACAGGTAAACATTATAAAGATTCTCTCTGTTATAGAAACTGGGTGATAATAGCTATGTGTGATTTACCACGTTTTGCATTTAAGATTCTGGACTCAGCTGTCTTCTAGGATATTCTAGTTGTAGATGTCCCCCTTAATTCATTCAACGATTGTAAGGGTGGCTCTGGACTGGACCGTGTTTCTTTCTGTTGTACTTGCAAAACTGACTCAACACCTAACAACATTAACAGAGCAATAATTCTTTTTATTTTTTTAGAGCAATAATTCTAATCCTATTCATTCTTTTTTTTTTAATCAATCAGAATTTACTGTACTTAGTAGTAACTATTCACAGTATTTCCAAACTTGCTAAAGTTAATACCATGTCATTTCCCGTTATAACACGATACCTCCGCTTCTTCCACATTGGCACATTTTAGGAATAAAATCTATTCAGTTTTGTTTTGTTGTATCAGAGGGATTGTGTGACATACCATGAAGTATTAAATATGCTTTAGAGTTCTAAAAGCACTCTTAAGTGAGAGACAAGCATTGAAAGAATGTTGGTATTTTCAGCTGTTACTAATGCAGCTGGTGCCTTCTACAGGTACTTGGGAGATGGGAAAATTTTGCCATCCACTCAGTCTCATTTAATACATGAAGCAGCATTTCCCCATGAGCCTCAAGTTACAAAGACTTTAGAAAAATATCCTCTTGGGTTGCATATTTGTTCTTACAAGTATGTATAATTCCATATGAATATAAAAATGATTCCATGTGAATGTAAAAATGTTTTAGGAATATTCCCGGTTGTTAAAGAGCACTCAGCCCACAGGTTTCATTCATCGTGGTTTCTGGAAAATAGCCTGTTGTGTTTTTCTACCTAAATTTCATTAGGTTTTGAGATGCAATTTTGTCAAACATTACTTGTGTCTTACCTCATTTGAAACCACCTTCCTAAATTGATCCCAGATAAATAGTTCCAAATTGCTGGTTGACAGGGATTTGGGTTACCTTCAGGACCATTAGCCATGGCCTCTGCTGGGTAAAAAGGAGCACATGACACAAAGTTACACTTGCCCCTGCCTCTTTCCTTGGTACAGAAATCTTGAGGACTGGATAGAAATCATTCACTGGCTGTGGGGGTAGTGGTAAGGTAGAAACTAAGAGAAGTGGGTGTTGGATTATAGCTGTCTCATTACATAGGCCCCAGAGAGAGGACCTGTGTGTGAAGCTCTGTGTATGCTGTCGTTAACTCGTTAGTCTTTAAAAAGTACTCCATCCTTGAGGGAAACACCTAAACATGAGTATAAGCACCTGTGGACTGAGACTTCCCAACTTGATGTGGGAAACAAGTGCACTTAAAGAACTCTTTTCACTAATGTCAGAGGCCATTCCAGGGCACAGAAGAACCTTACAAATAATGGGCAAGTGGTACCTCAAAACCCTTAAGTTCTGCTAGCACGTGAAACACTGAAGATCACATCTAACCGTTATGAACTGCCTGAGTGGTTAAGTGCTCAGCTGCAAACTACAAGGTCAGTGGTTCAAACCCACCAGCTGCTCCCTGGGAGATAGCTGTAGCAGTCTGCTTCCATAAAGATGGCAGCCTTGGAAGCCCCATTGGGCAACTCTGCTCTGTCCCATAGAGTAGCTATAAATCGGAATTGGCTTTTTGGATCAGGTTTGATTTTTATGGTTTGTTTTTGCTGATGTTTTCATATGCATTATCCCATTGAATCTTCCACAGCTCTGACAGGTAGATACATAGTTTTGTTATCCCTGCTTAACAGGTTAGGTAGTGGACTTCAGAGAGAAAAGAATCATTCGCCCAGGGTCACACAGTTGGAAATAATGGCCAGATGGTACGAGAGCCAGTACTTTTAATCCCTAGGACATAATAAGCTCCTTCCTGTTCTTGATCAGTGGGATGGAGGTGTAGGCAGGTAAGAGGCACTGTTCCTAAGACAATCTGTAACGGCACGCAGTAATCAGCATGGGGGTGTGAGGGGCATATCTGACTTTGTTTACCTTATTCTAATACCAACTGTTCCTTCCACAACACTCTACTTCTTTGCTCAGCTCAGCTAAATCACTACAATGGCCATAGACCTTCCACACAGTACTCATAGTTATGAGGGCTTATGAGGGATGTTCATGGGTTACAACATGTCAGGATTAGTAGATAGGCTAGTCTTTTGGTCCACAGTGACCTTTTGGTCCGACACCTCTCCTCAGCCAGCAGCTGAGTGTCTGTCCACTCCTCAGCCATGTGGTCCCTTGGCCTCCGCCTAGATAGACAAAGAAGCTCTCCCTTTGTTCTGCCTCACGTTCCCATAATCTCAGTGGTGCTCCTCTCTTCTGCCTCATTGTCTCCTTGCCTCAGTGTCTGGTCTCAGCCCAGCTCCTTTGCTCTGTCCCATCATAGTCTCTGTGTCACCGTCTCTGGTGCTTCTGGTCTCGCCCTCTGCTAATTCAGACAGAGCTTCAATGTACTGAGATTTCTCTGTGTGTATGAGATTGCTTCTGCGCACTGGTATGGCTCTGAGGGAGGTGTAATTTTTGTCTTTTAGCAGACCATACCCCCAAAGAAACAAAGGGTGTGACTTGGTTCACACCCTCAACTAAGGTCAGGACTTAATCCTACCTTAATCATTAATCCATCAGTACAGTGGGGACCTCGCTCCAAAATAGGATCATAATCACAAGCATAGAGTTCAGAATTACGATATATCACATGAGGAATTATGGCCAGAAGAGCCATATTAATTGACTGCATCTCATAGCAACACTTCAGTACCATGTTTTCCCATGGAATGAGCTCACTTAAATATCATACAACTCCCATAATGCACCCAGGAAACTAACAACTATGTGGAGGTTGCACAGTTTGGGGGGATAAAAGCATAGCATGTGCATTATTTGTGTAAAGCTAAAAAAAGTCCAATAAACCTCACTGCCATTGAGTTAAGGCTGACTCATAGTCACCCTATAGGACAGGGTAGAAACTGCCCTGTCAGTTTCCGAGACTCCATGTTTCTCCTATAGAGTGGCTGGTAGTTTTGAACTGCTGACCTTGCAGGTTGCAGCCCAATCCATAACCACTACACACGTACTCCTGTGTAAAGTGCAGTCATAGATTTTGTGACCCACGGGCAAAGTCTCATTAATAGATAGAGGAAAACATGTTTAAGACCATATAAGACATTTAAAATTGTGGTTACTTACTGGGCTGCTAACCACCAGGTTACCACCAGCTGTTCAGCAAGAGGAGGCTTTCTTTCTTTTATAAATCATTTTACTGGGGACTCTTACAGCTATTATCACAACCCACACATCCATCCATTGTGTCAAGCACATTTGTACATTGTGCTTTCATAACTCTCAAAACACTTGCTTTCTACTTCAGCCCTTGGTATCAGCTCCTCATTTTTTATCCTCCCTCCCAGCCCCCCATTACTCATGAACTCTTAATAATTTATAAATTATTATTATTTTGTCATGTCTTACATGTCTCACTTTACCCACTTTTCTGTTGTCTGTCCCCCACAGAGGGAGTTATATGTAGATCCTTATAATCGGTTCCCCCTTTCTATCCCACCTTCCCTCCACCCTCCCAGTATCGCCACTCTAACCACTGGTCCTGAAGGGTTCATCTGTCCTGGAATTCTTCTGTTTCCAATTCCTAACTACCAGTGTCCATCCTCTGGTCTAGCCGGATTTGAAAGTAGAATTGGGATCATGATAGTGGGGGGGAGAGGATGAATTTAAGAACTAGAGAAAAGTTGAATGTTTCATCGTTGCAACACTATACCCTGACTATCTCCTCTCCTCTCTGTGACTCTTCTGTAAGGGGATGTCCAGTTGCTTACAGATGGGTTTTGGGTCCCCACTCTGCACTCCCCCTCATTCACAATGATAAGATTTTTTGTTCTTTGATGCCTGATATCTGATTCCATTGACACCTGGTGATCACACAGGCTGGTGTGCTTCCATGTGGGCTTTGTTACTTCTCAGCTAGATGGCCACTTGTTTATCTTCAAGCCTTTAAGACCCCAGACGCTATATCTTTTGATAACCAGGCACCATTAGCTTTCTTCATCACATTTGCTTATGCACCTGCTTTGTCTTCAGCGATAGTGTCGGGAAGGTGAGCATCATGGAATTCCGGTTTCATAGAACAAAGTGTTCTTGCACTGAGGGAGTACTTAAGTGGAGGCATCTGCTACCTTAATACTAAACCTATAAATATATGTACATAGATCTATTTCCCCATCATCATATATAAATGTATTTACATAAGTACATGCTTTTATTTAGACCTCTATAAATGCCCTTTGCTGTCTTGTCCTTTCCTCTATTTCCTTTTACTTTCCTCTTGTCCCAGTACATGCTCAGCCTTCATTTGGGTTTCAGTAATTCCTCTCGGTTACGTTGCCTTTGATCAAGCCCTACCAGGCCTCTTACACCCTCCTCGCCACCGATTTTGGATCACTTGTTGTTCCCTTGTCCCTGGGTTGGTTAACATCACTTCCTTTCTCCCACCTGTCCCTCTCCCATGTCCCCCCCGCCCCCAACCATGGGTCCTATTGTTTTCTCCTCCGGGTTGTTTATCCCCCCGCCTATCTTATCTAGATAGAGCTGCAGCCATAAAACTATTTTCGTTGCTACTTCATAACTAATTTTGCTACTGTTATGAATCATAATGTAAATATCTGGTAATGTAGGATGTATTTTCATTGGTACAAATTGAACATACTTTTAAGTACAGTGATTAGTCACAAAAACTGCGTAATTCTATATTTTGAAATATTTATTTCTAATGACAAATCAAATTTTGTCTTGAAGCATAGTGTAGCATGTTAACGCTGGGTACTCGTATATGAGCGTACCTGCATGTGGGCAGTCTAGAGAGGGATAGAGGAGCGGTGTCTCAGTTCCTAAAACGATGGGACATAAGTGTTTTCCGATGGTCTTAGGCGACCCACAGGTTGAGACCCAGCTGCCTTAAAAAGTTACAATCTCAGAAATATACAGGGGCAGTTCTTCCCTGCCCTGTGGGACCCTTATGAGTCAGCATGAACTTGATGGCAGTGCGTTGGGTTTGTTTTTGTTTTGTAATTTTTTATTTGAGTGAGTTTGTTTTTTATGAAAGTCTAATAACATCACAATGTCCCTGTAAGCAAATGGCTGCTTGTCATAGCAAGCAAGGGATACTGGCGACATTTTCTTATGATGAAGGGATTTTTCTTTGTGCAACTGCATGTTCTGTCCACCTTAGTATTTGACCAAGTACAGGCGGTTCACGCTGACAGATGTCGTTTGAGACTGTGGCAGAGCTTGCAGCATGCTCTCTCCAGTGAGGATAGTGCCCTTGGCTTTGGTATTGCAGGTTGTATCGCTAGTTGCTGTTGGACCCTGGCTTTTAGGGTCTAAGATCTAAGACTCTTGGTATAATACTTTTCATTGTTAAATTAATAATGCGCTCTAGTGAGAATAATAGACTCCTTAGCGCTCAACTGCTGAGCACTGATAGCTGGCAGGCCCTGTAGTAAGTGCTTTTCGTGTGATACCTGCCAGAGTTTTCTCAACCTGGCCTTGAAGTGGGGTGTGGTTTAATAGAATTTTACTTATTTTTTGATAGAATTTTATGATGGAGGAAATGAGCACAGATAAGTTCAGTCACTTGTCCAAAGCTACACAGTGAATTTGTCAGAACTAGGATTCAAGTATAGGCAGCTTGACTCTGAAGCCTGGGCTGCTGACCATATTCTTCTTCCGTTTTTTCATTCCTTATCTCAGAGCATTTTCAGTAGCCTCTAGTCCTTTTTGTATCCTTTCCAATCTTCTAGATTTCTGATGGCCTGCGTGAAGTCTTAGAAACCGATGTGCTTGTACAGTTGTTCTGTGGCTCTTAGGAAACTCGTTCTTTGAGCCCAGGATTTGTAATTGATCAGGACACACCAAATCAGGAAGGGGTTCAGTCCAGTAAAGCCAGTTCCTATGTAAAGCAGAACCATAGCAGAAGGGAACCAATGGTTTTCACTAAAACAACTGGGGGGAAATGTGCTGCAATGCACCGCACCAATGGCAAAAACCATGCAAGGCCTGGGAAAGCAAGGCAATCTTGTCTCATGCTCTGCCCCACGTCGCTCGCTTGCTGTTTGTGGGGACAAAAAATGAGTAGTCACTGTTCAACTCTTTTTAATATATTTATTTATTTATTTTTAACATTTTATTAGGGGCTCATACAACTGTTATCCCAATCCATACACACATCAATTGTGTAAAGCGCATTTGTACATCGTTCCTCAAAACATTTTCTCTCCATTTAAACCCCTGACATTAGGTCCTCATTTTTCCCCTCCCTCCCCGCTCCCACCTCCCGCATGAGCCCTTGATAGTTTATAAATGGGTATTTTTTCATATCTTCCCCTGTCCGACGTCTCCCTTCACCCACTTTTCGGTTGTCTGTCCCCCAGGGAGGAGGTCACACACAGTTCCATGTAATCGGTTCCCTCTTTCCTACCCATTCTCCCTTTACCCTCCCTGTTTTAATATATTTAAACCATTGAATGGTTTGAATTTTATGTCAATAAGACTTTTTAAATGATTTTTTAAAACCATTTTGTCACTTTTTAAAAAGAAAAAAACTTTTATTGGGGGCTCTTACATCTCTTAACACAATCCATACATTCTTCCAGTGTGTCAAGCACATTTGCACATATCCCGCCATCATTTTCAGAGCATTCTCTTCTCACTTGAGCCCCTGATATCCACTCCCCATTTCTTCCCCCACCCTCCCTCACAAACCCTTGATAAGTTATAGATTATTTTTTCCATATCCTACATCATCCTCCATTACCCCTCATCTACTTTTTCATTATTCGTACCCCCCAGAGGGGGTTCCAGGTTGATCCTTGTGATAGGTTCCCTCTTTCTCCCCCCACCCTCCCCTAATCCTCCTGTCTACAGGTCACTTTATTAAAGTGACTCATAACTTAAATACCTGAGCTCATTTTCTCTGGTATGTCTTGAACAGGCTAGGAGACACCTCTCAAAAATAAGTTCTCACTATACTTGGTCATAAGGCGCCCTAGTAGAGTAGTGAATGGTGTGTTGGGCTACTAACTGCAACATTAATAGTTGGAACCCACCAGCCACTCAGAGGGAGAAAGATGAGGCAGTGTGCTTCTGTAAATATTTACAGCCTTGGAAACCCTAGGAAGCAGTTCTGCTCTATCATACGGTCTCTGTGAGTCGGAAGTGACTTGATGGCAGGTGGGTTTTTTTGTTGTTTTCCTTTATTTGGTTACTGTGACAATGAGGGTCATATGTTAGCTTTTATAATTGTCTGTAATTTGTTCCCTATTTATCTTATTCACCACCTACTAGGTGCTCAGTGAATATTTGAACAAATTAAACTGAATTTCCAGTACCAAGAAAGTGGAGGGAATCTCAACTGTTGATAAATGTTCTCATTTTAGAAACATAACCTGTCATTGGAGTGGCTTAACAGGACCCCCCCACCCCACCCCGTGCAAGGACACATGTGTCCGTGTGAGTGGGCTTGACCCCTTCGACCCTCAGCGAGTACTTCCAGGCCTGAAGGGTCTGAGGAGGCACTGCCTGTCCTCAGCGCTTCAGCCACCCCTGCAGGATTCAATTGGAAGCATTTGAAGAAAAACCCACTGCTCTTGAGAAATGTGGGGTGCCGTTTGAAGTTCCTTTTTTTTATATTAGAAAAATGGCTTGTTCAGTAGCTGGTTTTAACAGTTGAATGAAGTTAAAAATACACTGTACTCTATGTACAGGCTGTTTCCTGAGAGACAGGCCCTCCCTGCCCTGCTATACACCCCACTCCCCCGCTCAGTGAAAACTCCCTTCCGAACCAGCCCTCCATCCTCAGCTGCACAGCTCGCTCTGGCAGATTAAGAAAGCACAAATCATCAAGACTCCACATTGGAATTACATCATCTGAGTGGAATCACAAGCTGTGGAGAAACTTCCGGAAGCTGTAAGATTCAGAAGACCCAGGAGGGCAGAAGTATAGGACTATTTTTATCTGATTTGGCTTGGTGTTCTCACTAATAGGGCTTTTCCTTGTGCAGAATCCCCCCATGCAGGCGGATTGGTAGGGCCAAAGCACACAGCTTCCTGTGTTGGGCTGATTCCCAGGTGGGAGCCTTGGTCCCCCTGCTGCCACTAAAATGTGGAGTTTGAAAACTGGAACCATCTCTTTGTTGCTTCCTACGAAGACTAGACTAGATTTAAATTACATATGCTCATAATCACAAAGATGGAGCCCTGGAGATGCTGTGGGTTAAGTGTTGGGCTGCTGACCAGAAAGTTAGCTGTTCAAACCCCCAGCCAGTTACTTCACGCGAGAAGGATAAGTCTGCTGCTTCTGTAAAAGACTTAAGGCCTCAGAGACTCTTTGGGGCAGCTCTTCCCTGGGTATATTCCCAAATTACAGACACCTTTACCTAATAATGGCCTTCGCCCCTTGTCCCATTTTCTTCCATCAGGCTCACCTGGACCTCTTCACTTGGGTTGAGTTTTGCCATGAGTCTCAGACACAGGGTTGTTGTATAAAACCTCTTAGTGGAGGCCTTTCTGTATTATTGTCATGATGGAGTTGGCATTTCATGCCATTCCAGTTCCACTGGCCCTTAATGTTTTTTCTGAAAATGATGTTGACATTTTGTAAAAGACTGTCCTTTTTTTCCCCCCCTCCAATAGTTTATTTTGGTAAAAGAATCTTTCTTTCTTACATGGTTCCTCCCCCTCTCCACTATCATGATCTCAATTCTACCTTACAAATCTGGCTAGGCCAGAGGATGTACACTGGTACAGATAGGAACTGGAAACATAGGGAATCCAGGACAGATAATCCCTTCAGGACCAGTGGTGAGAGTGGCGATACCTGGAGGGTGGAGGGAAGGTGGGGTAGAAATGGGGAACCGATTACAAAGATCTACATATAACCTCCTCCCTGGGGGATGGACAACAGAAAAGTGGGCGAAGAGAGACCTCGGACAGTGTAAGATATTACAAAATAATAATAACTTATAACTTATCAAGAGTTCATGAGGGAGGGGTGCGGGGAAGGAGGGGGAAAATGAGGAGCTGACATCAAGGGCTCAAGTAGAAAGCAAATGTTTTGAGAATGGTGATGGCAGCCAATGTACAAATATGCTTGACACAATGGATGTATATATAGATTGTGATAAGAGTTGCACGAGCCCCTAATAAAATGATTTAATTTAAAAAAAAAATCTTTCTCCAGCCATCGTCAGTCAGGATTTGGTTCCAAGTTTTGCAGGAATGAGTCTTCGCTGTTCAGCTGCTGTGGAAGTGCTGACTAAAGACTTACTAAGCTGGTACTAAGGAAAGGTTGGCTGCTGGTGGTTGAATATAGAATTGTACTCACCGTCCGCTTGCTGCACTTCAGCACCGCTGGCCAGTTCTCATGAAATCTTTTTTAGAGATGGTGGCTATGGACTTGCAATGTCCAGTCAGCCCATGAACCAGCATTGGTACCTACTCCTTTTGGCATTTGCTTTCTGCCCTTCATAAAAACTTTTAAAGCTGATGAGAATGACTGAAGCTGCGCACCTTGAATATAAAGCAAGTTAATTTTGAGGTTCATAACTAACGAGTTTTCTTTTCCTATCGGTATCCGTAGGCTGATGCAGACAGCTTTTACATGGCATGCAATGGCCGACAGTTTAACTCAATAGAAGATGATGTTTGCCAACTGGTCTACGTGGAAAGGGCTGAAGTTCTGAAATCAGAAGACGTAAGTATGAGAGGTTTTTATATTTGATGTAAACATTGTCTGTGGAAATGTCCCAAAGAGGCCAACCCATAGTAACAGAAAGTAGGTTAGTGGCTACCTAGGCATCAGGTTAACCTATGGGATTTCTTTTCAGGGCAGTGGAAATGTACCACAATTAATTGGTTGTGATGGTCGCACAACCTGGTGAATATGTAAAAATGGAAACACTGAAAGGAAAAAAAAAAATCAAAACACTGAGTGGTTACATGCTTTTTTTTTTATTTTATCATTTTATTAGGGGCTCATACAACTCATCACAATCCATCCATACATCAATTGTGTAAAGCGCATTTGTGCAGTCATTGCCCTCATCATTCTCAAAACATTTGCTCTCCACTAAAGCCCCCGGCATCAGCTCCTCAGTTACATGCTTTTAAATGGTGAATCTTATTGCCAAAAAGTGTTTAATAAAGGAAAAATTTAGTATCTGTGTTGTTGAAATAGAGGAGGGAGCTGTTCCAGATCAGTGAGACGTCACCTAGAACCAAAACTGAGTTTGTGGGTTGGTTTTAAATGTCACCCCTCAGTCCCCTTCCCTGTTCTCGATGATGGGATCTGCGCTGGCAGCAGCTGTGACAGTGCTGAGGCAGCTGCCTTCCGTGGGAACTTGCCCACAGTATGTGGCGGTCGAGTCATTCAGTGGTGGCACAGGTTCAGCTGTTCGAGATTTACATTTTCTTTCTGAAACCAACTTGATGGAAGTTAGCCCTGATTCCATTGCTCCATCATCACAGGGTGCCACTGAGTGGATTCTGATACACAGCAGCCCATGTAGCAGAGAAGATCCACTCTGTAGAGTTTCCTAGGCTGGGATCTCTATGGAAGCAGATCGCCAGGTCTCTCTCTCGTGGAGTCACTGGGTGGATTCAAACCTGGGTCTCAGCCAAGTACTTATTTGTTGCATTTGGCAGGCCTCCTTGTTTGCCCTTAAACATGGTGAAGTAAAGCTTGACAATCAATATGGGCTCCCTCATGCCTGGCACTGTGCTAGGCCTCCATTGTAGAGACGCTTCTCTAAGTGAACTTAGGTTCTTGAGAGAATGCCTTGGGAATGTCTAACCCTGAGGGACTGGACAAGGAGTCCTGGTAACATAGTGGTTATGAGTTGGGCTGGTTACCACAAGGTCAGCAGTTTGAAATACCAGTCAGTCCACAGGAGCAAAGCACGGCTTTCTATTTTTGTGAAGAGCAACAGTCTCAAAAACCCACCGGGGCAGTTCTCCCCTGGACTGCAGGGTCCCTACAAATCAGAATTGGCTCGATGTCAGTGAGTGAGTAAGAGGAACTAGACAGTGTGGGTTCCTCAGCCACACTTCCCCAGCTTTGCGGAGTGCTTCCTGCTCCCCTGCTGACTGTCAGGTCTCAGGTGGAATGTGGCTTTCTCGGGGTGTCTTTCCTGACCACCTGAACCAGAGTGCCCCTCGACTTCACACTCTTTGGTGGCTTCCTGCACAGCATTCACACCTGATGGTGGTCTGATTTTTATATTTTTTTCACCTCCACTGAAGGCCGTAGGAAGACAGGGACTGGCTCTGGTGTTTGGGCTGAAGCTGGTCATAATCACCATTGTGGCTTACCTGTAAGATGCGAGGCACATAGCAGGGACTCAGTGCTGTATCTCCAGTGAGGCAGTGTGAAGTTATCATTTACTCAGGAAAAGCCCTCTGGAAACCTCCTCTCCGGCTGCTCTTATTCCTATGTGTTCCCTTACAGTTGTGGATGCCAAGCGTGGTCTGTGCACAGGCTACCGGCATTCTCTCTTCCCAAGGTGCCACCTCCACAAGGGCAGGGTCGGGTCTGTTTTGTTCACTATCTCCCAGGGCCAGGCAGCTGAGAGGTGCACAGTCGGGATTTGGTGAGTGAGTGTTGAATGAGCTCTTCATCAGTTTAAATGATGAAGAGCAGGTCATATGTAGAAAGCACCATGCCGGGAGTCAGCACGCTCTGGTTGGAAAGCAAGAGTCAGAGTAGGGACTGTCAGTGTCTGCTGACACACGTGTGCCGTGTGTCCCTGCAGGGTGCCAGCCTCCCCGTGATGGACCTGACGGAGCTGCCCAAGTGCACAGTGTGCCTGGAGCGCATGGACGAGTCGGTGAACGGCATCCTCACCACGTTGTGTAACCACAGCTTCCACAGCCAGTGTCTACAGCGCTGGGACGACACTACGTGAGTGCAGAGGCTCTGCCGAGCCTGCCATGCCCTTCCCTGGGAGTCGGACTAACCGCCCCAAACTGGAAGCCTACAGCTGTCCTGTGTGCAGATCCAGAGCCACTGGTCTGTCCTCAGTCAAGTGCTGAGCCTGTGGGCGCCTCCTCCCTTTTCCTCGGTTCAGTGCCTGCATCTTTGCACCAGGGCCTGTAGTGTGCTGACTCGGAGCCCTTGAGTTTTCCAGAGCAGTACAGGTGTTTCTTTCCTCCCAAGAGCCAGAGAATAGAAAACAGAGAAGTTAGCATACCCATTGTGCACAAACCCATTCTCTCTCTCAGATCTCGTTAATCACCTGTGCCTGCTGTCTGCCTTTACCTGGGTTTCTTACCAGCTGACCACAGGGAAAGGAGCCCTGGGCATGCAGTAGGTGCAGTATTGGACTACTAATTGCAAGGTTGGTAATTTAAACCCACCAGCCACTCCTCAGGGAAAGGTGCAGCAGTCTGCTTCTGTAGGACATATAGATTGGAAACCTATGGAGCAGCTCAGCTCAGCTCGGCCCTGCCCTGCCCTGCCTTGCAGACTCACTCTGAGTCAGAACTGACCCAACAGCAGTGGTGTGGTGTCTTTGGTTTGGACGCAGCAACCTAACACAGTAGCTTGTCCAGGCTGTTGAAAGCACAGTGGCCAGGAGCAGAAGTGCTAAAACATCTTAAGAGGCATCACGTCGATGGTACCTGCCTCCCAATTTGACAGAGCCCTTATTTAATAGGGAGGCATTGCTGTATAAAGATAGCTCAGATCTCACCTGTGCCTTTTTCTGCACCCTAAGACTTTGCTAGAAAGGTGGCTCAGACACTGGCCTCCCATCAATCCCATGACAAGGGGTACGGTTGCAGCCCTGACAGGCCTTAGGAAGGAATGGCTGTGACTGGAGGGTGAGCCAGGTCTTCTGAGATCTGAGCTGAGGAAGAAGAGTTTTCCAGATGAAGACTGGGACTCGGGAGGAGGTGCTAAGCAGGTGTGTGTGTGTCTGTGTGTGTATGTGTACATGTGTGTACACACCTGGGGAGGGATAAGAAAATTCCAAAGCCCAAAAGTACTGAGGAATGGAAGTTCACAGGAATCTGCTCTCCACTCAGAAGTGGGCCACTGGCTGAGCGGAGAATGCCAGCCCCTAGAGCAGGGTCTGGCCTGTTCACTTGTTTACTCCTGGGCCCCTTGCAGCTGGCATGAGCCTTGGTGCGTAGTGGGAGCAACGTAAGTATCGCTGAGAAAATGCATAAACCTTGGGTGTTGTGGAGTGTGCTTCTAGAATCAGGCAAGATTCTTGCCTTGGTTCCACAGTGTCCTCGGCCAGTTTGTTTTGGAGTTCTACAGAAAATCGTCCAGGTTTAAAATCACCTTGAACAAAGCCACACTGGACTGTGTGGACGGTGTAAAGTGCTTGTCTGTATCTTGTGTCCAACCCCTACGCCATTCTCTTTGCCGGCCTCACCAGTGTTACCTTCAGTAGAGGTGAACTCATAGAACCAGAGCATTTTGAACTTGGACGTTTCCTCAGAGAACATCTTATCGCCCCTCAGTTTATAGAGAAGGAAACGAAGGCCCAGAGGTGAGCATTAACGTGCCTAAAGTGTCCTGACCGGAGAGGTCAAGTCACTGGGCGTTGGAACGACTTGATGACAGAGCGTTTCTGTGCGTGACATAGGGTCTGAGACATAGCCTTCACCCTCAGAAGCACCCAGCTCATTTAGCAGTGGGTTTTGTGTGGATGGTGCAGTGGGTGGTGCTGAGAGGGAGACTCAAACACAGATCCTCCTCAGAGTGAGCACACCCATAATAAGTTCATGTGACTCAAGGTAGAGGCTGGAGGAGGTAGAGATGGGGGCTGCTAGGCTGTGATTGGTACTGGGTCACAAAGGGTGGTTTCTTCTCATCTATAGAAATGTTGCGTGGTAAAACTCCACTCTGCCAAAGGCGTCAATGTTAGAAGACCCAGAAAACCAATATGGTCCCATTGAGCTCAAGGCTCTCACATGTCAATATTGTAGAAAAAAGACAAACAATCTAAAGATCTATCAACAGGATTAAGGTAAATAAAAATGGAATTGCAAGAAAAAAGAAATGTTGGGGTAGAACATTCTGAGAGGGCTCCCCAAAAATTTCATTGCAAAAATTAAAATAAAAAACGTATTCTTAAAGGGGAAGGCAGGAAGAATTTAATAAACATTTTAATGGGAAATAGATGCTATGTAGTAAAGCCAGGATTATATTATGCAAATAAGTTAATCCGTAATTTTATCCCTTCTTTCTTTTTCTCAGACTCAGATTTATCTTTCAGAAAGAGCCTTCTAGCACTGTGTGGAGAATTAGACTTTGGATTCAGTTGGTTCTTATCCAGACACAGAGAAGAGGAGGCACGCAGTGACAGGATGGCTTAGAGCTAGTTCCCGCCTGTGACAAGGCTCATTGCCACTTGTTAGCTACTGTTTTTTAAATCATTCCTGTGAGCTTATGGTCTGTCTTCTGATACTAAAAAGTGAGCTGGGTGGGACCTGTAGCCTCTTCATTGAAACCAGGATAGAGCCTCCTGCTCTGTGACAAGACCCCAGTGTTCTTCCTGCGGGTTCCCCTCCTTCAGCTTTGCGTACTCATTTGGTCAGCAAATGAACCTGCTTGTGTCTGGAACGTGAGCATCCTTTCTTCTTGGTTCCAGTTCAGTTAGCCTCAACTCTTCAGCTGCAGCACGCTTTCTGTTGTTTACAACCTAAACGCACCGCCATGGAGTCCATTCTGACTCTTAGTGAAGCTGTAGGATAGGACAGAAGTAAGGCTTTCTCCTGCATTGTAGCTGGTGGGTTCCAAACTCCAACCTTTGGGTTAGCAGCCATGCACTTAGCCACTGCGCCATCATCAGACAAAAGCATTCAAGACTAGTATTAACTTTACTTTGTCTTGAGTATAATAGGAAGGGATTGATGAGTTTTTCTATGCCATTTTTATTAGTCACCAGTATCTTCATTGCATCATAAAATGTTGACCATATTTCAAGAAAAATAATTTTGTTCATTTGATTTTTTTTTTCAACTTGGTAAAATTCACTGTCGTTTTTATTTCCAATTCTAAAGAGCAACCTCGAGAGCCTAGAGAATATTTTGAGTGATTAAAGTTTCTGGGAAATGTGGATTGTTAGCAGTGAGAACATCTAGTAGATAGCATGGATGGATCAGTGGCCTGTCCCCAGCCCCTCGTTCTAACCTGTGCTTGTTGAGCTCTTGGATTATGTAAGCTCCAGGCAGCAAGAGGGGGTATGAGGCCAGGCAAGAGTCCTCATTTCCTGTTTAATCAACAACTTTTTTTTTTTTCTTTTTTAACATTTTATTAGGGGCTCATACAACTGTTATCCCAATCCATACACACATCAGTTGTGTAAAGCGCATTTGTACATCGTTTCTCAAGACATTTTCTCTCCATTTAAACCCCCGACATTAGGTCCTCATTTTTCCCCTCCCTCCCCGCTCCCCCCTCCCGCCATGAGCCCTTGATAGTTTATAAATGGGTATTTTGTCATATCTTGCCCTGTCCGACGTCTCCCTTCATCCACTTTTCGGTTGTCTGTCCCCCAGGGAGGAGGTCACACACAGTTCCATGTCATCGGTTCCCTCTTTCCTACCCATTCTCCCTTTATCCTCCCTGTTTTGCCACTCACACCACTGGTCCTATAGGGCTCATCCGTCCTGGATTCCCAACAACTTATATTTTTAACTCTGCTTAAGAATACCTGGCACATGTCTTGTGAATGATATCCTCAGTTATGATAAATTTAGAGGTATAGAAGAGAAATCTACAATCCATGCTTTGGCTTCCAGGCTCTGGACCAGTTGTCTTTTGATCTTTAATCAATACCATTATCTCGCTGTCCTGGTAGGTGTCCCGTGTGCCGGTACTGTCAAACGCCAGAGCCAGTCGAAGAGAACAAGTGTTTCGAGTGTGGTGTTCAGGAAGTAAGTAATGGGGGCAGGCAAAGAACAATGAACACAGCTCCCATTGTCGGGGGTTTCTTCTGCCTGGTGTCGTTTAAATTCTTTTGGTTTCTTACTGAGACTGAGTATTTTATTTTTTTGTCTAGGATCAGGCAAAAAAAAAAAAAAAAAGGAACGCCCAAATGATTTTCCTTCTAAGAAAAGTACTTGATGCTTTTATTCTTTGATCCTTAATAAAAACCTAGCCTTTTCTTGATCAGTTGTGAATGCTTTTCTTACTGTTTACATAGAGCTCCTTAGAAATCAGAGTGAGAAAATAATGTACCCATAAAATCATCCTTGATTGTTGGACTTGAGACATGCATTTGTTCAAAACTCCTGTAGAAGCCACTTTCCATCCACCACAGGCCCCTTCTCACCCCAAATGGGCCAAGTACTGGGTTACATCTAACTGACCAGGCCCTTACTTTCCTCTTGGCAGAATCTTTGGATTTGTCTGATATGTGGCCACATCGGCTGTGGGCGGTATGTAAGCCGACACGCTTACAAGCACTTTGAGGAAACCCAGCACACGTACGCCATGCAGCTTACCAACCATCGCGTCTGGGACTACGCTGGAGGTGAACACCAGCCCAGCATTCTAGTTTGGGGTTCTGTGTGGGCGGCTTGTCCTTCAGAGACAGTGTGAAATGTCATCCCCCCAGCTGTCGCAACACTCGTTCTCACGGTGCCCCGAAGAGCACGCTCCCATGAATGGCCCGAATCTCCTTATGACAGAAGTTTACACTTCCACTCTTCCCCACTCACTCTCTCACATTCTCATCAAAATACAAGGGATTTGGCCCGTTTTTAAAGAAATACTGGCATTGCCTTTAGTTCCGATCCATAAAAACAAATGTTGTGTCGGCATTAGCACATATGGAGACCTTTTCTGTTCTGAAGACACAACTTTTCGCTGACTCATTCTCTTCTTTAGATAATTATGTCCATCGGCTTGTTGCAAGTAAAACAGATGGGAAAATTGTGCAGTATGAATGTGAAGGTGATACTTGCCAGGAAGAGAAAATAGATGCCTTACAGTTAGAGGTAAGTTATTGTCATTATCACTCAAGACCAGTTTCCAGGTAATACATGTTATCACTTTTCTAAAGTAAAAGGTGCTTTGTGGTTGTTAGGTGCCCTGGAGTCAGTTCTGGCTCATAGCAACCCTAAATGTACAACAGAACAAAACTCCCCAGTCCTACGCCACCTTTACAATTATTCTCATGCTTGAGCCCATTGTTGCAGCCCCTGTGTCAATCTATATGATCAAAGATCCTGCTCTTTTCTACTGCCCCTCTATTTGACCAAGCATGATGTCTTTCTCCATTGACCAGCCTCTCTTGATAACATACCTAAAGTACATGAAATGTAAGTCTTGCCCTCCTTGACCCTAAGGAGCATTCTGGGCGGTGCTTCCTCCAAGCCACGTTTGTTGGTTCTTCTGACAGTCCACAGCACTTTGAATGTTCTTCACCAACGCTGTAGTTTTAAACATATGTTCTTCTTCAGTCTTCCTTATTCAATATCTAACTTTCATATGCATATGAGACAATTGAAAATATCATGGCTTGGGTTAGGCATGTCTTAGTCCTCCAAATAGCACCTTTTATTTTCAACACTTTAATAAGGTCTTGTGCAATTTCAATTCATAGCTACCTTATATAGGATTTCCGAAGTTCTAAATCTTTACAGGAGTCAATAGCCTCATCTTTCTCCTGAGAAGTGGCTGGTAGCTATGAACTGCCAATCTTGTGGTTAGTAGTCCAACACCTAACCCACAAAACCACCAGGGACCCACAAAATGGTTTTGAAAAAGACTGATGTTATTAACTCATTGTTCTATTGATATAAAAAAAAAGATAAAAACTTTGTAGGAAAGTTTTCAATTAGCAATAATTGTGCCTTGGATAAAACTCACTGGGTTCAATATTGCCACTGTGCAAAGCTAAACACTTTGTAAAGAGCTCTCCCATGTTAACTGTAAGTATGTACACACATAATTGTCAGACCCTGCTCCCTGGGCTGGGAACTGGACATGGAGCAAGCCTCATGAAACCTACCTGCCCTCATGGAGTGCACAGCCCAACAACACATCCATTTTTTTTTCTTTGATGCCTGATACCTCATCCCTTCAAAAACCTTGTGATCACATAGGCTGATGTGCTTCTTCCATGTGAGCTTTGCTGCTTCTCAGCTAGATGGCCACTTTAAGGCTTCAAGCCTTTAAGACTCCAGACACTGTATCTTTTGATAGCTGAGCACCATCAGCTTTCTTCACCACATTTGCTTATGCACCCATTTGTCTTCAGCAATCCTGTTGGGAAGAAGAGCATCATGGAATGCCAGTTTAATAGAAAAAAGTGTTCTTGCATTGAGGGAGTACTTGAGTGGAGGCCAAGTGGTTATTCAGGGCCTTCTACTGTGATCCCTTTCAGAGCAATTGGTGGTTATATCTGGACACCATCTAGTTCTGTGGTTTCAGGATGGTGGAGACTGATGTTCACTTGGTCCATTGGACTGCTTCTGCCAGATTTTCATCACTTCTTTCACCAGACAGAGAGACCAATAGTCGGGCTTTAGAAGAACACTTTTAAGACCGCAGTTGATGGAGCAAACATTTCTTGATATTGTGTGTGTGTGATAAAGACATAATTCTCACTTTGATGGCAGTCACAAGCCAGTCAGGGAGACAGGCTGGTAAACTTGGGATTGAGTGCCAGTGTCCGAAGGAATGTTAGCGGTGGGCAGAGTGCTGAGGGAGTGGAGAAGGGCTGGGAGGGAACAGCTTCCTGGAGAAGAATGAATACATGATTGGTTTGAGTTGCACTTCAATTTTAATGATTGTGGTTCCTCATCTGCTTGGACAGAATCCATTTTGTTTTTTAGTTGCCGCTGCTGCTGCTGCTGCTCAAAAGTCAGCAGCATAATTGGCATCTGTGGGCCCCTGCTGACCCATTGTGTTGTGTGGAGAGGAACCAAGGTGTCAGATCCTGGTGACTGTGCTTACTCTTCCAGCTCCCTCCAAGGCCCACTTTGAATTGCATGCATTTCCAAGACTGACAGCAGTGGCTGACACTTTCATGTCTCTTTTCTCTGTCTCCAGTATTCATATTTACTCACAAGCCAGCTGGAATCTCAGCGAATCTACTGGGAAAACAAGATTGTTCGGATAGAGAAGGACACCGCAGAAGAGGTAAGGCTGATTTAGTGACAATGCTGAAATGCCACGAGACCGAAAAGGCTGAAACCCTGGCAGAAGGAGGCATTGGAGGGTGGAGTGGGTGGGGTCAGCCTGAGGGTGTAGCCCGGTGGCTCAGCATCGCACTCACCCAGGGAGGGTGTGCATCTAAGAAATTTGCATTTAAGGCTTGAGTGTTTTGGCACTTGAGGGGTTGGGGAGTTGTTTGTCTTTTAAGCCCAGTCAGGGTTCCTAGGGCTTGATACAGCCCCATTAAAAAGTAAAGTAGGTCCATAAATTTGTAATTTGGGTCAGCCTGTTGGTGTGTCCACTTTGGGAAAGCTATTCTCAGGAGTTCACTGGGATTGTCTGAGGTGGCAAGATACTGCCAAGCCACTCTCTATCCAACGAGGCGAAACCAGGCAGACACTGGGGCTTTGCCCATTACCCGGGTGCCCTGTGTGTCTAAGGTGGGTGCCCCAATTTTACTAAAGGACCTTGTAAGGAAGATGCCATTCAAACCTCCAGCAGCTCCAAGAGGCAAGTCGTGTGACGTAGACAGTGCTAATGGGCCAGAGGTCTGCCCGCTTGGTTTTTCCCTGGGCCTTTCTTGTCCAAAGAGCACTGCAGGGTGCAAAGAGGACCGCATGGAAACCAGCAAGAGCCTCTGAGTTTGTGTGTAACTACAGCTCTAGGAACCATTCTCAGGACCTAGGGACAGTGCCTGGTGCATTGCTTCCCATAGTCTTACATACGGTCGTTTAAAATGAAATTGATGGCTTTGGCAACTTTGGAAGCTCTCTCCGATATCTGGGTCTTCAGGTAGGAGCTGCGGAGCAGGGCTTGGGTAGCCAGGATTAACCTGTGGTGAGCAGAGAGGGCCCAGGTGCTCTCAGTACCTGGGATACCAGTTATCCTGTGCCCCCAAAGGAGGGGAAGTCAGCTTTACAACAGGCTACACACCAGCTCTGAGGGCCAAGTGGATTCTGACTCCCAGCAACTCCAAAGAACAGAGGAGAACCACCTGATGGGGTTTCCAAGGCTGCGAATCTTTAAGGACACCGTCAACTTCATCTTTCTTTTACAGTGTTTGGTGGGTTCAAACCATCAGCCTTTTGGTTTGGGCCAAGTGTTTTAAGCACTGTACCACCAGGGCTCTGCAGGGGCCCAGCAGCTGTCAAATTCTTTCCTATTTAGTTCTCTGTAGGGATGTGCTGGAGACTCAGGGCAGCCCTGCCGATGAAGCTTTAAGTCAGGGGTCCTCAAACTTTTTAAACAAGGGGCCAGTTCACTGTCCCTCAGACCCGTTGGAAGGCCGGACTCTAAAAAAAAACTATGAACAAAGTCCTATGCACACTGCACATATCTTATTTTGAAGTAAAAAACAAAACGGGACAAAAACATCCGGCGGACCCCATAAATGTCCTCAGCGGGCCGCATGTGGCCCACGGGCTGTAGTTTGAGGACCCCTGCTTTAAGTGCTTGAAGGGATGTTTTAGGTGATAACAAATGTCCTTTATCCCTTAGTTCATGGTTCTTGCCGCTGTCCGCCCTCTGAGCAGCCCTCTGTCCACTGCCTCCTGCAGTGGAACCACCTGGGGAGGAACAGTGGCCAGCCCTGCATGTCCTGGGAAGTGAGTGGGGAGCTGAGGCTGGAGGAGTGTGCATGCATGGTGGGTCTGCTTCTCTTGCCCCTGATACCGAGTGTGGCACGTGAGCAGGAGCCTGTTCTACATAGTGAGGAACACGCACCCATGGAGGGGCTGAGTTTACACAGAGCAGGACACGGCTTCCCTGGAACAGAGAGCCCACCATCTAAATCAGTATTGTTCCCGATACGGCTATGAACAGAAGTTTGGTGGGTCATGACTGGCATTTTTATTAATAGAATGAATGTAAAGTATCAGAGCTTATTTAATGTTTTGTGAAACTCTTCATCTCTTTACGTGTGTGTATGCTTACAGGCGCTGCGTGTGCCTTATCTTGGGCTAATGGTCAAACACGTTTCTGGAAAACTGATTTAACATCTGTCTATTGCAATGTATATTTTACCTGTTTCAAATCTGTGGGGTTGATGTATCTTTATTAACCAAAACATACACAATTTGGTTCCTTTTGGTAGTAATTTCTGCTCTTTATTACAAAACAGAAGTGTATTCAGGAGAAAATGTCAAAAGAGCTAATGGATCCTTTTACAGCCATATTGAAGAGATGCACTGATGCCAGACTAGCATTTGAGCTGCTTCAAATACTATTTTGATCTTCATGACTTACAGGAAATTTGAGAAGTCGCCCTTTGCTTGCATGTTCAAAGTCACCCTTTGCTTAATGAAGTGGGCTAGGAAGTTACTCCCCCTCCCCCCAAAAAAGGCTTTATTTATTTATTTATTTATTTATTTATTTATTTATTTATTTATAATCGTTTTATTAGGGGCTCATGTAACTCTTAGCACAGTCCATACATAATGTCAATTGTGTAAACCACATTTGTACATTCATTGCTCTCATCATTCTCAAAACATTTGATCTTCCCTTAAGCCCCTGGCATTAGCTGCTCATTTTCCCCCTCGCTCCCCCCTCCCTCATGAACCCTTGATAATTTATGAATTATTATTTTGTCATATCTTGCCCTGTCCAATGTCTCCCTTCACCCACTTTTCTGTTGTCCGTCCCCCAGGGAGGGGGTCACATGTAGATCCTTGTAATTGGTTCCCCCTTTCCAATCTACCCACCGTCTACCCTCCCAGTATCGCCACTCACACCACTGGTCCTGAAGGGATCATCCGCCCTGGATTCCCTGTGTTTCCAGTTCCTATCTGTACCAGTGTACATCCTCTGGTCTAGCCAAATTTGTAAGGTAGAATTGGGATCATGATAGTGGGGGCGAGGAGGAAGCATTTAGGAACTAGAGGAAAGTTGTATTTTTCGTTGTTGCTACATCACTCCCTGACTGGCTCGTCCCCTCCCCAGACCCTTCTGTAAGGGGATGTCCAGTGGCCTACAAATGGGCTTTGGGTCTCCACTCTGCACTCCCCCCCTCATTCACAATGGTAAGATTTTTTGTTCTGATGATGCCTGATACCTTCAACACCTCAGTGATCGCACAGGCTGGTGTGCTTCTTCCATGTGGGCTTTGTTACTTCTGAGCTAAATGGCTGCTTGTTTACCTTCAAGCCTTTAAGACCCCAGACGCTGTATCTTTTGATAGCCGGGCCCCATCAGGTTTCTTCGCCACATTTGCTTATGCACCCATTTGTCTTCAGTGATCGTATCAGGGAGGTGAGCACACAATGATATTAATTTTTTGTTCTTTGATGCCTGATAACTGATCCCTTTGGCACCTCGTGATCACACAGGCCGGTGTGCTTCTTCCATGTGGGCTTTGTTGCTTCTGAGCTAGATGACCGCTTGTTACCTTCAAGCCCAAAAGGCTTTTTTAAATGAAATAGTCAGTGCTGTTAAGGAGACCTAGTCCGTGTGGAATATGCTTACAGAGGGAGGATGGGAGTGCCTGGCCTTCCTGTGGCCTGCCTGCCATCGCAGCCATCCCTCGCCAGCAGCCAGGAGGAGGGCTGCTCAGAGTTGAGTATAGAAGTATCCTGGCTCCACCAAGCTCCAGCAGGTGACCTCGGGCATCCTGCCTGCCCTCTGTTCAAGCCTTAGCTTCTAACGAGGGTGGACATGTGAAGTCAGGACTGTTAGAAGGTCTCAGTGAAACATTGTTTCTGAAACAATTTCAGCTCCTGCTATTGCTGCCTCATGGCCCAGCCAGCCTCCTTGTCGGCTCCTGACTTAAGCTTCTCCCAGTGCCCTGAGACAGTGGAGGGGGCAAGGCCCACAGCCACCTGAATAAGCCCGTATCTACTTAGCTGTCCTGCAGGCAGCATGCTCTGGACTGGGATTGCTCTGCCCTTAGCCAACATCCAGCAGTCTACACCCTCAAATTCTGAATGCTGTGTCATAAGAATTAGTTCTATATACTTTTGACTGCTCTGTTTTGTTCCAGAGCAGAAAGGAGACTATGTCAACAATATTCCACATCTATGTGACAGGGCTTTGAAAAGTTTGAAAAAATACAATATAAACATGAAATATTTCCATGAGCTCTTGATGCCCCCTCATAAGAAGCCCTGGTGGTGCAGTGGTTAAGTGTTAGGCGGTTAATCAAAAGTCTATACTTTGAACCCAGCAATCGGTCCATGGCAGAGAGCTGGTCCTATAGAGACAACAGCCTTGGGGGTCCATTAGAGTAGTTCTACCCTGTCCTATAGAGTTACAGTGCTTGCGAATCCACTTGACAGCAACACATTTATACATACGCAAGCGGCCTTTGAAAAGTTTGTGGGAAATGGAATTAAAACATAATGGGATTTTGCCACAACTTTTTAAGAAACCCCCTCATATCTGTATGTATTTCATAAGTAAATAACAAAAAACAAACTCCCTGCCACTGATTCAACTCTGAACTTCCCCAGTGGGATTCCGAGACTAACTCTTACAGGAGTAGAAAGCTTCATCTTTCCCCCTTGGAGTGGCTGGTGGGTTCAAACTGATAACCGGAACTGATATGCTATATCATGCACTGATAACAGTGCATGATATAGCATATATTAGTGAGCTTGAGACCTGGACAGCTAAGGAATGCTACCACGAGCCCCTTAGGTTCCCGTGGAGAATCACTTGTGGAAGGAGCCTCAGGAGAAGAAAATCAACAGCAAGCGTGGCAGGGCCTCTGACCAGCCTTCTGTGCTCAGGCAGAGCCAGCAGCTCTGTATTCTCAGGGTTCTGCTGCATACTCAGGCGCCTAAGGGCCCCGTTCCCAATGGTCCTGAGAAATCGTGTCAGCACCAGTTCTCAGCATTTTTTTAAATTCCTGTTACAGAAATGGTTTTCAAAAGTCTCACTTTTTCAAAGTTTGACCTGTCAAAGTTATAATTGAAGGAAAGAAAGCATGTGAAAACTAGCCCCAAAGAGCACAGAACTTCGCCTTTCTGCAGTGAGCCTGCTCTCTCATGTTTCTTTCAGATTAACAACATGAAGACCAAATTTAAAGAGACCATTGAGAAGTGTGATAACCTAGAACATAGATTAAACGACCTCCTCAAGGAAAAGCAATCCGTGGAAAGAAAGTAGGTATAACTAGTCTGTTCTCTAAGCTCACTGTTTTATGGTGACAGCTTGACTGTTACTGTGTGCCCTCGAGTTTTCAGGGGTTACCCTATACATGGAGCAAACTTACTGTGACCTCCTATTTATTGAAAGCAGAGGCACGCAGTAGCAGGTGGGTACTGTATGGGGCACAATACTTCAGTGCCATACGTGCAAATCCTTACCTTTGCTGTCTGTGGTGGTGGGGAGGGGACACTCCACTCGGCCTGCAGCCCTTTTGAGCCCTGTGGCCAAGCAATGGCAGGAAGAAAGACCTGGCACCCAGCAGCATGACAGGCCATTCACAGCAAGGCAGCTCTGCCCCACTGCTGGGATTTGCTGACTGAAGTGACCTTTTGGGCTCAGGGTGGACTTAAGTCATTTTGAGGGGGGGCTCATGTAGCAATCCATCCATCCATTGTACCAAGCACTTTGAACATATGTTGCCATCATCATTTACAAAACATTTTCTTTCTACTTGAGCCCTTAGCATCAGCTCTTTTTCCCCCTCCCTCCTGAGAATCGGTGTTTTATTCTGGGAGTAGATTCAGATTTACAAAAAACTGGCAAAGGTAGGCCAAGGTTCGCAGACCCTTTACCCAGTTCCTTCCATTGTTAAGTACATGTTAGTATTTTGGCTTTGAAACTGTTGTTAAAACAATACTGCAACATCACAAGAAACCAAAATGGAAAATTCTCCAACCCTTTCAGCCCCTGAGAGATTGAACTAAAAAGTTAAAACTGGACACTGGAGAGTAGCAGCAGCATTAACAGTAGCCCTTGGGTAGTTCTCCTTCCAGATCCTTTGTTCTGTCTACATAGTAAACAGAATAATCTCGTACTTCTGCTGCACAAAGAACGTAATATTAGAGGAGGCCCCTCTCCCCCGCCTAGTAATTAAATATATTACAAAGGGGCCTCAAAAAGTTTGTGGAAAAATTCGATTATCTTTTCATTCTATCTTACTCAAGCTTTTTGAAGCCTCCCCACCCCCATGTTATCTAGTTCTTCAGTTACTGTATTTTTTGCATATTATGCACCCTGTGAACAACATGCATATACATATTGCGCACACAAGAAGCTAATGTCTGTGCAGTTTGCAAAAACCGTATAGCATGCATGCTATTTAGGTACTAAGATGACACTCAAAGAATATGTGTAGGAGGTAGTTTCGTGCTGGCACACCCCAAGTCCTCTCTGGTCTCTGGAGGGGCTTTCTGGCCCATTACCCAGATGTGCTAAGGTGTCCAGGGACACCTACAGTGCCTCAGCGCTTACACTACTATGAACGGTCTTGTGGTGAGCACCTTTGTCCCTGTGGGCTTTTTGTATTGGTGTGTTTGGGCCACAATCCTGAGTTTATTCCATAGGGTGCATTCCTAGATGTAGGGTAGAGGTGTCAGAGAACATGCAGGGTTTTGATTTTTAGAGCACTTACTAAATTGACTTCCAGAGGCTGTGCTCCTGTGCACCTCCAATCCTCCACAGTGCTCAGTGGCATTCTGATAGAAATGGCATCTGAAAAGGTGTTTTAGTTTGTAATTCTCTACTTGAGTAAGGTTGAGCGACAAGAATGGGTCACTCCCTCTTCTTAAAAGCCCTCTGCTTAGAATATCATCCAGGAAAGTGCTTTGAGCATGTGATTCTCCAAGAATTGTCACTTTTGTCCTAGCGTCCCTATCCTGGAGCTCTGGTGGTGTAGTGGGTTATGCGTTGGGCTGCTAACTGCAAGGTCAGCACTTTGAAACCACCAGAAGAGTCACAGTCTC